AATAGGAAGTTGGTTTTAAATGGCTTAAAGGGGATTAGGGTTTTAAAGTTGGATAAGGAGTTTGGTGCTTTGGTTTAGGCATGGCATTGCTTTTAAAAGATTACTTCCATATTTGACAACAATTCTAACTGGAGAGTATAAAGCACATAGTTTTAAAACACCACGGAAAACAAGAGGGTTTCTTTTTTGTTGTTGTTTGTTTATACAAAATGATTGCCTAGAGTTAACAGGCTGAGTCCTGAAGGCCTCATTTCATAACACAACTGAGGATCTGTCACCGGGGAGAATCCAGCAGAGGTTGTTTAATGTACTTCATTGAGATTATCTGAGCTTTTCGGTTTAAATTACTTTGGGAAAAGTCTAGGTGCAAACAGCTTCTTTGAAAGGTAAACATACTTAACCTCTAAGAAAAAGGGTTCAATTTAAGTTCTTTAAAATTCTTCGGTTAGTATCACCAACCCTTATTAATAAAATTTGAGTATAAGCTGAATAATGTGCAAAGATTTGATCTCTGTACATCAGTACAAGTGTTAATATAATTATATTAACAATGTTTTCAGTATTTTACAATTGTTTGAAAATGCAATTAAGTAGTTAATTAAAAAAAAAGCAACCCCAGACAATTTTAGTAATTCCAAAAGTGAAAAGATACTATCTACTGTGTTGGTTATAAAATTTTGTTAATGAAGTTTTAAAAATGAATTTTCCCATCCTGTTGCATCCAAGAAGTTGGTTGCGTTAAAATAGAAAAAGGGTAGCATATACTTTATATATAAGCTGTGGAGAAACAGTCACAAGTCAGTTTAACATCTTCCCCCATCTTCCTCAGCTCCTTGACCTGTTCATGGTTTGGGATTGGTCTACTTACCTAGCTGATTATGGACAGCCAGCTTCGAAGTACCTTCGGGTAAATCCAAACACAGCCCTTACTCTTTTGGAGAAGTGAGTATATTCTGGAAACTTTTTGTCATGCTATTTTAGCATTTTGTGATTCAGTAATAATTGAAAACTAGAGATTTTTATCAAAAGAGAAATGTCTGTATGGAGCTTAAAAGCTCAGTTCATTTTTAATGACCAAAATATAAGCCTCTTTCTTTCTCACCTTCAGTATTAGTGTAGTTTTATATATGAGATTGCTGTTTATGTTGATATGAACAAAAGAATTTTCCTATTGTATCTTCAATAGCAGGCTTAATTGGCTATGGAAATATGCTTACTAAAGATAAGTGAGGGTCGGAACTATTTTTTAAAAATACTGTAACACAGGAAAGAAGGCATTTTGTAAAACATGGCTAGGGATTGGAATGTTTGCCACCAGTGCTGTCTAAATCCTACCGTGATGGACTTGGAATCTTTACAGGTAGAGAAGTATGTGTTTTGAAAAAATAATATTATAAAAACTGAAATAATAGAATATTTACTGATATGCGTTCTCCAATTTAAAATAACACCAGTGTAGGTGTTACTTTTCCCTCTCATAATGTGGCAGATTTTCTTTTCACTCTATCATATTTCAAGTATCACTATTAAATTTTTCAAGTTTTGAATTAAAAGTGTATATTATTTTCCCAGCAGTTCAAAATATGTGGTGTATTTGATTTGAGAGGACACAAGGAGCTGTTTTAAATAAATGTAAACTTGTTTTGCAATGGCATGAAACACCACTGAGGCAAAAAAAAAAATGGCTGCTTTTGATTTTCTAATGTTATTTTTCCTTTCACCTTGTCTTGCTATGAATGTAATTTGCAGAGTCCATAGAGGGTATGTATTTTAGCATACTTTATGAAATGATGTTAGAAAATAGTATGATATAAGCAAACTTATTATGCTTTAGATTTACATACTAATGCAAAAACACCACTTCATATAGAATGCAAAATAAAGCTGCTAATTTTTTGTGTAGTTGCTATCTCTGTAATATTATTAGTAATACCTATTTTCTTTGAACTATATTTTTCAAGCATAGGATTAGTGTGAGATAATCCAGAGCATGCCAAGATATTTTATTTGTGACGGCATAGGAAATTACTTTTACTAAAGCTTCTTCTTTCACATATATTCCTAGGATGAAGGATACTAGCAAAAAGAACAATATATTTGCTCAGTTCAGAAAGAATGATCGAGACAAACAGAAGCTGATAGAGACAGTCGTGAAACAGCTGAGAAGTTTGGTGAATGGTATGTCCCAGCACACATAGACTTCACATCGCTTGTACTCAGTGACAACAAATCTGAGACTCAGCATTGATACCTAACAAACACTGGTCATAATACACAAACTTGTTTGCGTAATTCGAAAATACAATAGAGAAAAGACAATGATGAGAGCTTAAACAAGAAACAATTATAAATATGATTTGTATGGATTTTTAAATAATTGAATACTATTTTATATATGGAAAATGTGACTTTTTTCACTTTTAGGGTAATATATAATCAGGTCAAAAATTGTATATGAAACTGATTGTAAATACATTAGAAAAACTTATGCCTCTACATATAAGTATTTCTTTTCTATTTGAACTTGAATAATTTGTGTGTGTGTGTGTGTTTTCCCCCAGTATCTGGCTTTGGAATGCAATCATGTCTGATTTGGGAGCATTTCACTGTTGTTTTCCAACTTTTAACTTTAATTTTCACCTCAGTATGATTTAAGTAGACTAAATTTTCTAATTTTGCTGATTCTGAGGGAGGAAAAGGACGAATCTTTAAAGGTCCCTGAAATCAAACTTCATTTAATCCGATAAGAATGTGAATTATTTGTTTTACTTGGGTGGTTTAATTTAATCTGAATATGAAGAAAAGGTGTTTAGATTTTTTTTAAGACGCAGTGTTTCTGTTCAGCAGGGTTATTATTTCTAACTATATTATCTGTAGCTGGATCCCATTGATCTGGTTTGGCTTGGTTCAAGTTAGAAGGATAGGAAGTAAGTGGGACTAACCACTTCAGGTGCAGCTCACGCTAGGATAGATGTGTTCCTACACACACAAGTTACCACAAAGGTCAGGTTACTTTCTTCAAAGAGGAGATCTCAGTATGGTATCCTCTCTGTGGAAACAAGCCAAACCAAATGAACTCTGGAAAACCTAAAACGAATGTACATCTTATTCTGTGTAAATTACTGTGGTCCAGATGGTAATATCAGTCTGATCCTTACTTTCTCTTCATTGTATTTATACTGAATAATCCTTTTTGCATTTTCAGGATTTATGCCTGTAAGAAACTTATTATTTTACTCTGTAAAATAAGTGTAAAGAATTCTGTGTACATTTCTTGATTTTGTGATGAAATATTAAAAAGGTTGAGCAAGTTGCTGAAAATTCGTTGCTACATCTATTTAGAGCTTCCTGATTTAAAACAACTGCTTCCTTCAGAAAGGCTATTTATTATTCGCTAGCTCTTACAACTGAGAGTGTCACCAAAACAAAATGAGCATTTATTTTCTTGACTATCTCTTTTCCTTAAAGTAGTTTATAACATTAAAAAAATTACATGGAAAACATGGTAATTCCAGGCACAATACAGTCTGGAAGTTACGAGGGAAGCGGTGAACAGCTCGTTCTCTTTAAGGACTGAAATGTGGTGTCCCTGGCGTGCCTTACCCAGCCCTCCAGGGCACGCGGGACGTCTTCCCGGCTTGGGCTGAGGCGTCCTCCTAATTCGGAGAGACGCCGGCTCTGCACTGCTTGGAGCAGACCACTGCGAGTCCGCAGCGGTGATGGTCTTGTGGCGATCACTTTACTCTTCTCAGGAAAACAAGCACCCTGCACGCACGCGCGCGCGCACGCACGCAAACACACACACACGCACACGCACACCCCAGTTGCGCTGGGACGTGCAAGTCTTGAGGCATTTGGAGCCCCATAAAAAAGACCGAGAAGCAACCGTGTAGATTGATGGGGTGGGAAGGATACGAAGGGGTCTTTGAGACCCGAAAGGCACCCGGGGATATCTGCTCCTCGTGGGCATAGAGTGTCTCTTTGAAGCTTTGTGCAGCAATGACACTACCATCTTTTGAAGGATTCTGGAAGTGATAGATCAGAGACCTTGGGCGGTTGGGGGATGTCGAACCCGGCCATCCTTAGGTGCTTGCGATGTCAAGGCAGTCATCGAAAACCGCAATTTCCCTGAAAGTTCACTGGAGAACCCCCAGTGCTTTAGCCTTGGTGTGCCAGGAGTGGAAAGGGCACCTGGAAGCTCGAAGGTGAGGATCCCACAGAGAGCCCGAGTTAGCTCCGCGCACTCGGTTCGTCCACCCGCCGAGCCCCCTCTGGGAGCCGGGAGGTTCTTGGCGCGAAACTGCAGACCCCGCCCGAGGATCTGAGCGGGGCTCAGCCCCCGGCTCAGCCGTCGCGCCGCAGAGCCTGCCATTCCCGACTCCTACTCCTGGGAGAGCGCGCCGCTGCCCACCGCCTCCAATCATTACTTTGAATAGAGCGCTTTAAATACAAACAGGCGCGTCACGTTGTGTGAATCGGAATCAATCTGTAGGGAGGGAGCCAATATCTATATAAATGTGGTCTGGGTGGGCTGAGAAGGGTTAAAAGGCTGGAGGAGAGAGAGGTGGGCGGGGGTCTACAGCCCCGGTGAGCACAGCCCTGGTTGGCAACCTCGGTGAGTTGCTCCTCATTTTGCCCTCCCTCACTGCTTCTATTAAAGGAGTGCTGACCCGGGGAGGAGGTGGGAGGTGCCCGGCGCGAGCGGTCCCAAGGCAGTCGGCACCCCCGTGAGGGGCTTGCATTTTGGCACGGGAGCCTTCAGACTCCGGGAATAGTTCTGAGCGCTGAGCTCGCGGGTCTCAATGAAGGCACGTCTGCTAAGGGCGCGTGGTCACTGCCGCCCTCCACTGCCTGTCTGCTTTTAGAGTGAAGTCTCTGTCCGAGTTTGTAAATCTCGGTTTTGGTCCCCAAGCCCCAGGCCCTTTCCGGACAGAACGGGTGAGCACTGCGCTCTGCCGGCGCCCCAGCTCCTGCGCCCCCTGCGCTCTGAGCGGCCTGGCCTCCGCAGGCTGGCCATGTTCCCCTGGGGGTTGAGCTGCTTGTCGGTGCTGGGGGCGGCGGGCACCGCTCTCCTGTGCGCCGGCCTGCTACTTAGCCTGGCCCAGCACCTCTGGACCCTCCGCTGGACGTTGAGCCGGGACCGAGCTTCTGCCCTGCCCCTGCCCAAAGGCTCCATGGGCTGGCCCTTCTTCGGGGAAACGCTGCACTGGTTAGTTCAGGTGAGCAGTCTGTTGTTCCCACACCCCAGTATGGCCTCTTCTTCCCTGACCCCCACTGGCTCTCAATGTTCCCAGGGTTCGTAACCAGTCGCTTCCTGCAGCCCAGGATCCCAGGGAGCATACACAGCCCCCACCTTTGCCCAGCTGTTCCCGCGAAGGGACTGTATGCCACCAGAGTTCTCCCCATCGCAACTTAAGTCCCAACGCAATGCGGGGGTGAACAGAGAGGTTCTAGAACTGTGTGGCCTGCCACCATAGAATCAGGAGTCGGGGGCGCGTTTCATCCTTGAGACTTTTGGCCCTCACGTCCCCATTCTGAGCCTCAGTTTCCTCATCTCACCAGTGGGAACAGGAGCCTGTACATTCTCTTAAGGTAGTCGCGAGGCCCATTTGAGATTATTTTGTAAAGAGTAAGACGCCAGTCTGGAGTAGGTGGTGGTTATCAAGGGTCATTTGGAAGGCCTGGGCTAGATCCGCAGCCGAGGCCCTAGGGCCCCGGCCCTCTTTGCTCCGCCTTGTTCGCAGGGCTCGCGGTTCCACAGCTCCCGCCGGGAGCGCTACGGGACAGTGTTCAAGACGCACCTGCTGGGCAGGCCGGTGATCCGTGTGAGCGGCGCCGAGAACGTGCGCACAATCCTGTTGGGCGAGCACCGTCTTGTGCGCAGCCAGTGGCCGCAGAGCGCGCACATCCTACTGGGCTCGCACACACTGCTCGGCGCGGTTGGCGAGCCGCACCGGCAGCGGCGGAAGGTGAGCCCCAAACGGAAAGGCCGTCGGGAGATCAGATCCGCGGTTCCCGGGTACCTGCTGTGGTCTAGGCCAGGGCTAGGTATTAGGGGGTACACTGTGAACCTGGCCAGGACCCCTAGCAAGGTGGTGGCATTGGGCCAGTACCTTAACATTATCTGGCTTCGGTTTATAAGGCGAGCACTGGGACTTAAAGTTCCTTTCATCTCCGATCCTCCGTGATTCTGATACCAAAAGCGCTGGAAACTCAAACTGGGAGAGGGTTAGCGATGACTTCTTGGAGAAGGTGGCCCCTGTAACCTGGATGAATGGGAGGGGCTGTGTACCTCAGAGAAGAACTAGAGGGAATGGCAAGAGCAAAAGCCGACACATTTGGGTCCGGGTCGCGTAGAAGAAGGGACCGAAATTGGCCTTCTAGTTCCTCTGGAGTCCCGGAGCAGGCTGACTCAGCGCGCTCCCCACAGATCCTGGCACGAGTGTTTAGCCGCGCGGCTCTGGAGCGCTACGTGCCTCGCCTGCAGGGGGCGCTGCGGCAGGAAGTGCGCTGCTGGTGCGCAGCCCGCGGGCCGGTTGCTGTCTACGAGGCCGCCAAAGCGCTCACCTTTCGCATGGCCGCGCGCATCCTACTGGGGCTACGGCTAGATGAGGCCCAGTGCTCGGAGCTGGCCCGCACCTTTGAGCAGTTCGTGGAGAACCTCTTCTCGCTGCCACTAGATGTACCCTTCAGCGGTCTGCGCAAGGTATTGCCGACCCCGCCCCAGACCTTCCCTTTGGGGCTCCCTTGGCGTGCCCCAGGCATCACCTCTGCTGGGAGACGGAGGCTTGGCCCAGTGTGGGGAGGCGGCGGCGTGGAGTGGCGGTGGGCGCCGGGGCTAGCCTCTGTCCTGAATCGCTGTGTGACCCGAGGTGGGCCACACACCTCTGGATCACGCCTGACGGGATGAGCTCCAGCCCCAGCCGCCGCGGGCTTTCCGACTTTGGGTCTCGGTGGCGGGCGCCCAGCCAGTCGTCCCAGCCCCTCCTCAGAGCGGCGCCTCCCGGCCCGGCCTCCAGCGCCTCTTTGGAAGACCGACGGCTGCGGAACGGATGGGAGCTCTAGGGCCGCAGACACGCCCCCGGCCCAGCCCGGCGCCAGCTCGGGTCGGAGAGGGGTGGGTGCCGGCTGCCCGCCCGCGGCCCCAGGCCCGCTAGTTTCCGGATCAGAGAACCACGGCTTCTTCAAACTTTAGAGCGACGATCTGGCGCAGAGAGCAACTGAACCGGGGCTTCTTACTGTGCCGATGCCCTGGCTTTCAGTCACCTGAATGAAAATAATAGTTATGTACAAAAGAACATGCTGATCCATGGGCTGATCGCCTTGGTAACATTTTCTGATTTAATCCTCTCGGCCTACAAAGTATTACTATTCTCATTTTATTGATGAAGAAACTGAAGCTCAGAAAGATTAATGACTTGTCCAAGATCACACAGCTAGTAGGGGCAGAGGAAGGATTTGAACTGATCTCCCCTGACTATAAAACCCAAGTGCTCAAAATGCTTCCTCCAGCAGATGCTTTTGCTGTGCTTGCTCCCTGAGCTCTGGAGGGACACCCCAGCCCTCTCGCCAACCCCTTAGAGAGGGTAATTCCCGTAGTGTTCTTTAAGCCAGCGGGTTCCTGGGTGCATCATGGTGTCCCTTCCTCTCTGCACTGGTGCCCACTGCTCCTGCCTGAGCCTCATGCAGGGAAAGGACAATGGGCTGAATCCCTGGCTGGGCTGTGTGCCAGGAAGGAACACTGACAGCTGTGTGACTCTGGCCAATTGCTTGACCTCTCTGAGCTTCAGCATCCTCCCCTTAGGAGGACAGTAACTGTTTGCCTTGCCCTCCAAGGGGCTTGTGATAATTAAGAAAGAATGGTGTGTGGGGAGAGTGGAGAAATTCCTGAGCATTTATCGTGTCTCTTCTATGTGCCAGGCATGGATCTCAGCTGGGAAACTGTTAACACCAGGATCTCAGCAGAGCCAGAGAAGCCCCGGGAAGATTTTGGGGGGTCAGTGCCCAGGGCTGGCCCCCTCATCCTTCCTGCCCCACCTCCCTTCTCTCCCTGCACATCAGGGCATCCGGGCACGGGACCAGCTGCATCGGCACCTGGAGGAGGCCATTGCAGAGAAGCTTCACGAAGACAAGGCTGTAGAGCCAGGCGATGCCCTGGGCATGATCATCTACAGCACTAGGGAGCTGGGCCAGGAGCTCTCCGTGCAGGAGCTGAAGGTAGGTGGTGGGAGATTTCTCCTCTGCCCCTCTTGCATTTCTAGCAGGTCTCTGCACACATGCTGCATCCCTGGAGCATGGAGCAAAGCCCAGAGGCACTCAGAGTGAGGGGGAAAAGGAGACCTGGGTTCCAGGCACAGCTCAGCTGCACCCACTACCTCTGTGGCCCTGGGCCAGTGGCTGTCCCTCGTAGTAAGAGTATTGAAAGCATGAATTCTAGGCCTTTACAGGTTCTGGCCCCAAACAGATTCCACTCCCCCTCCCCTTCCCCACCCTCCCTGCCCCCCCTTCCCTCTCCTTCCTCCTCCCTACCCTTCCTTCCCTCTCCTCCCTCCCTACTTCCCTCTCCTCCTTCCTCCCCTTCTCTGTCACTCCATACCTTTGCCTCTGCTGTCCCCCTGCCTGTGAAGCTCTCTTCACCCCTTTTCCCGACAAACCCTAAGGGCTCAGCATCATATTCCACAGCCTCCTTGAAACTTCCGTTTTCCTCCCCCAATCTACACTCCTTCCATGAGCTATCTTGGCACCTGGCACCTCTCTGTCTGTTTCGCCACTGCAGAATCTAATGGATAATTAGAACCCCTTCCCATGTAGACCAACATGCAATGGAGGTAAGGAGGGAGGCTCTGGAATGGCCCCCGGACCCACCTGCTTGAGAACCTAAAAAGGAGTGGAGAGGTTGGGGGGCAGAAGGGAGTTAGAAATGGAAACACCTCAGTCCTTCCATAAGTAACTCCCATCCTTTCTCTGGGCCTTGATTTCCCACTTTCTGCCAGCCGGCTACTGAAGGGTGGGGCTCAGCCTTAGTTTCTTCTCGGAGATTGGGACTAATAAACTCTTTCCTGACTCCCGGGTGCTTGTGAAGTCTGAAAGAGTCAAGGGGGTTAGAAGTAGATGAGCGGGGGGTGCATGAGTCCTGGGGGAGCCGGTGGATAAGAATAGTTCTGAGAAGGGAAGTGGTGTGGAAAGGAGTAGATGGTCCCTCTGCCTTGGCAGGCCTGGGGAGGGAGTGATAATACTCTCCAGGTTCTCAGGAAGGGACCCACTGACCAGAAAATTTCAGTCCTGGCTGGTCAAGGAGGACCTTGGGGCTCTAAGGTTTTCACCTGGCTCTCCATCTTCTCCAGGGCAGGCAGTTAACCTTGGGTCAGGTCATTCATTCCACAAATACTGTCTACTTATTTGGTGCCAGTTTCCATGCTGGGACTGGGGATACAGTGGTGAGCAAAACACTGCTGGTGCTGGAGAGGAGGGGGACACATTGATTCTATGATCACATCAATCAGTGTGTAAACACAAACTGGGTGCTGCCAGGAAGGAAGATACCACACAGGAGTTGGGAGAGTGGAGGCAGAGTAAGGGTTGGGGCCTGGATGGTGAAGCCACCAGGCCCCTCTGTCCTTCCGGCTGGGCAAACCAGGAAGAAGTTTAATCACTCACTGGGACCACCACTAAGCGGGAGAAGGAAACCATGCTTTGGTGAGAGGCTGGCGCTATTGCAGGTGTCTTAAACAATTCCGCTGCAGTCACTGCCCGGCTGGGGTTGCAGGCAGTACTGCATGGTTCAGACAGAGCACTGGACTCCCGAGCCCCCGACTACTGGGACTGCTGACCGTAGGGACCTTTAGACCTTCTTCTAGCCTCAGTTTCCAACCCTTAAAACGGCCAGTAATTGTGCCTCACTGAGTGAGAATCGAATGAGTTAATACACTTAAAGCGCCAAGAACAGTACACACAAAAAGTTTCTGGCATTATCTTTGGGAACCTCCCAAGGCAACTGGATAGATGCTGCTTTTGCTTATTGCTATCTGTGGCTTCCTCAAGCGGCGGACTTGGAATTCAGTCGACCCCAGGACCCGCACAGGCAGCCGCCCCGGGAGCGCATCTCTGCGCTCCGGCCTGTGAGCAGCTGTGAAAGTGGGCACCCTGAGCCTCAGCCTGGCTGTCTTGCAGGAATCAGCTGTGGAGCTGCTCTTCGCCGCCTTCTTCACAACGGCCAGTGCCAGCACGTCCCTCGTCCTGCTGCTTCTGCAGCACCCGGCGGCTATCGCCAAGATCCAGCAGGAGCTGGATGCGCAGGGGCTGGGGCAAGCGTGCGGCTGCGCGGCGGGGGCCACGGGGGGCGGCGCAGGGCCCCGGCCCGACTGCGGCTGCGAGCCAGACCTCAGCCTGGCGGCGCTGGGCCGCCTGCGCTACGTCGGCTGCGTGGTCAAGGAGGTGCTGCGCCTCCTGCCGCCCGTGTCCGGGGGCTACCGCACCGCCCTGCGCACCTTCGAGCTCAACGTAAGTGCGCCGCCGGCCCCGCCCCTGCCGCCTGCCGGAGAAGGGCGGGGAGGGGGAGGGAGGGGTTAGGACTGTGCGGTCTCCTCGGGGGCCTCCGCTTTTCCGCCTGTAAAGTGGGCTGAGCCTTGTTCCATTTCCCGGGAACCACGGTTTGAGGGTGAAAAGTCTGGTGCCTGGAGAGCCGGCAAGGTTAGAGACCCAGCACACTTAAGCTTTTGGCAGTGGTCCGGGTGGGTCAACTCAATTAGAGCCGAGTTTTAGAACAAAAACATCCTTTTCTCCACACAGCAACCCCCTCTCAGCCAGTGAGTCTAGGTAGGGCCCCCCATCATGTCCCGTACCCCATCTTTCTGACTCCTTCACAAAATCAAGGAACCGATCATTTTTACCTTTCCAGGGCCCCAGCTGAGGCCGGATTCCAGGGAAGCGGGGTCACATCTCTGGGAGATGACCTTGGACAATTCCCTTCTCAGTCTGGGCCTCAGTTTACTCCCTGGAAGGAAGCTACTTTGGTCCTTTCCAGCTCTGACACTCCAGGTTGGGCCGGGCGGTTCTGCGCATTGACAGCATCTGGGAGTGGAGCCCTAGCGCTGCCAAACCGAGGGTGTTTGCCTGAATGGCTCTCACTGCTTCCCCTCTACCCCCACTCAGGCTCTGGGCAGCACCAGGCAGAGTGGTCACCTCCTTCCCTGACCTTTAAACAGCAAACATCACTAGCGCGTTGCATACCAGGGTTTGATCGTATCGAAGGGACTGGGATTCTGCCCTTGAGACGCTGTCATAGAGACAAAGGGGGCCAGGGCCAGCAACTTCATTGCAAACTGTGGTATGAAGAGGGTGATCTCTAGTGCAGAATGACACAAAAACATTTTGGGAGCTGGCATTTGAACTGGAGCAGTGAAGGGTTAGGGGGGGACAGCACACCACTAAGAGGGGACAGCCCAGACAAAGGTAGGAGGATTAGTGAGATGTTCAGAAGTGTCTTGGATGGTGAATGTTGAAATTTAGAAGTCATTGCACAGGTGCAGGGGTGCCAGACCTTAGGGAGACTGAGGGAGTAGAGCACTGGTCCAGCAGAGTGACTAGAGGCAGGGGTCTTAACCATCCTCCAGTTTCTAGATGGGAAAACAGAGGCCTAGAGAGGAGAGGGAAAGCTCCTTGGTGATTCCAAGACCTTCTGTCTGCCTGTGTCTACCCAGACAGCATGGAGCCTGTTCAGGCGAGGGAAGGATAGTCGGGGTTGGAAGACTTGTCAAAAGAGGAATAGTTGAAAAGTTAGAGGTGAGCAAAGGGAACATGAAAGCTCCTTTCCGACATTTTAAAGACTCCCCAGTTTAATTCTCATGTGTACCTTCTTAGATTGTGGCTACCCGACCTGAACATTATTGTACAGCTGATGGGTAGCGAGGACAGAGAGGCGGTTTTCAGTTCAGTGCAAAGAAGAGCTGTATAATTGAGATGACCATAGAGGAACTGTCATTTGCACTGTTCTGACCCAGGCAGCTGGTTGGTGCAGGACTAGAATTTAGTTCTCCTGCTATAATGTAAGAAGAAAAAGGAAAGAGAAAAACAAAACATGGAGACATAAAAATAACGGAACACATTTACTGACCACTAATATATATGCCAGACCCGTTATTTGAATCCTCACAACAAAATGGGCGTTTTTGTCCTCTTTATCAATTAAGAAACTGAGGCTCACAGAGATTGAGTATTTAGCCCAAGGTTTCACAGCTCACCAGAGAAGGAGCTGAGATGGGGATGCAGAGCGATCTCCTAGCTTCCGGGTTACACCTGCGTCCCTGTGGGTTTTCGGAAGCCTGTTTGATGTACCAGCGGTGCAAGATAGGTTCGGGCTGGGTTTCCGAGTGCCTCGTGGTTAAGCGGGTCTCTTCAACTCCACGCAGGGCTACCAGATCCCCAAGGGCTGGAATGTGATGTACAGCATCCGGGACACGCATGAGACGGCCGCGGTTTACCGCAGTCCGCCCGAAGGCTTCGACCCCGAGCGCTTCGGCTCTGCGGGCGAGGATGCGCGGGGCGCCGCCGGCCGCTTCCATTATATCCCGTTCGGCGGCGGTGCGCGCAGCTGTCTCGGCCAGGAGCTGGCGCAGACAGTGCTCCAGCTGCTCGCGGTGGAGCTGGTGCGCACGGCGCGCTGGGAACTGGCCACGCCTGCCTTTCCCGCCATGCAGACCGTGCCCATCGTGCACCCGGTGGACGGGCTGCGGCTCTTTTTCTACCCTCTTGAGCCTTCGGCCGCGCACGATGCGCGACGCCTCTGAGCCGCTGCGCTGCGGGACCTGACTGGTCCAGTGGCAGCGGCACGCTCGCGGCTCCGCCCATCTGCCGTTCTCCAGTGCCGGGTCGGGCGCTGTCTCTTTCAACAAACCGCCATCGAATGCGGCTCTGTGCCGGACTCTGAGGAGGAGGATGAGGAGGAGGAGCGTGAGCCACCGCCACCGCACTGGAGAAGTGCCCAGGCCGGCGGGAAGGTGCCGCCTGCACTTCGCACCCTGAGGGAGGAAAGATCGTGGGCCAAGATTCTTAGGCCCTTCCCAGGATCTCAGGAATGGAGGGAAGAGATCTCCACTAGGAGCCAAGCCCGGGAAGGTGCATGGGTTACGGGGCCCTGGGGAGGATTGCTAGGGAAGGATCGGGGAGTGCCAGAGATCTGGCGAACGAGATAGGACCTGCAACCCTTGCGAGGAAGCGGCTAGGCCGGGGGCGCATCCCTGGGCTGGCTTTGGGCCATAGGAAGACACACCGTGAAGTTGCCCAATGGAAGGCCCTTAGGCAGCTTGCCTCCGCTTGGTGCGCCCCGGCCACTCCTCCGGTCTCGGCGGAAACCCAGAACTGCCGCTTCCAGGACTCTAAACAGGCTCAACACCGCATTCTGTTGGCGATTTCTTAAAAGAAAAATTCCTAGTTCAAGAACGCATTTAATCTTTACATTGATACAAGGGAGCCTAGGCACGTGGAAAGGGCTCGAAGGTTGGATTATTTTCCTGGGAGGTTGAGACATAATCAGAGAGGCTTGGAATATTTGTACCCAAAACGGGAAGGCCAAGAAGTAAAGTTTGCTGGCAGTGGTTCAGTGAGGAGGCTACAGCTTAGCTGGGCAGCTGCTCCCTGGTGGAAAAGTGGGGTGGCAGGTGGGGGAGACTTGGGAAAGATGCTCCCAGAAGTACCCACTCTGCATATACCCAGAGAGGGGCGAGGATCCTGGGCAGCCTGGGGCCCAGACTGCTGGAACTTCTCTCTTGAGTACAGCCCCAGGGAACTGGGCTAGGAATTAGCTCCAAGATAGCTGGCTGCAGGGACATTCTGGTTTATTGCCGCAACCTCCTATTACACAGTAGAAACTGAGAGGAAAGATTGGCCTGAGGAGCCAGCAGTGAGTTCCTGGACTGCTCAGCCAGTGCTCTCCACCCCATCACTCCCCTGCTACAGCCTCTGGGCCTGTGGCCACCGCCTAGGTCTCCGCCCTTTTATCGGTTCACAGTAATCCCTAGGTTGGCTGAAGGATTCTCTCTGGACCTTTTCAACACAGAATTTCCCCACAGTGTTTAAATCTAAACCAAGAGCCTCCAGTGTCATTATTCCTAACAGCCTACTGTAACCTGCCACCCACCTTCTGACAGGCCAGGGGCAAACTGGACATGGTGGGTGAGCCAGGGAAATTGCCGCCAAGGCCTGAGCTGACCCTTTAGTGAACCAGAAGGAAGCTCGTGCCCTCCTGACCTTATGCTTAAGGTGGATCCTGGGGCCAGAAGGATAAGGGGAAGCAGCAGGCGCAGGCAGGGTGGGGAGCTCAAGAGCGCAGCGGGCCCTTCCGAGCTCGGCTGACACCGCCATAACCCCCATCCAGGGCAATTCATCACCCACTGCTGACCACAGGCCCTGGCGCCAGGCCATGGGCTCCACAGGCGCCACAGAGGAGCCAGCAAAAGTGGCGGGTCTGGGGCCTGCCCTCAGGGTGCTCTTGACAACATCTTGGCCTGAGGCGCTCCACCAGGCTGAGGTGGTGGGAGGACCAGAGCTGGGGTTGATTCTGATTTGGGGACAGATATAGGGAGGGAGCGCTCAGAAGCCCAGACTTAGCTGGTTCCAAGAGACCTGGTTTACCTGCTGTGGGGTCTGGACTAACTATAAGCTTCAGTTTTACCCTAATTTCCCATTGACGTATCATCCTCAGTAACGTCAAGGAATATCCGAGCTCTTGCTTGGTAGCTGTTGATTCTTTGAGGAAGAAGCAGATGTGGTTTTTGCCCTCCTGGATTTGGTATGTTCACAAAGGAGATAGACAGTAAATGAAGGAGCAAACAAAAGAGCAAGAATATGTCTAATGGCGATAGTGCTGTCGAGAAAATAAAACAGACCCGTGATGCAGAGTGCCTGGCGGCTCAGCTGGGCAGGTGGGGGTCTGGGAAGGCTTCCCTGAGGTCACATTTGACTTTGGAAGGAACCAGCCAGTGGTGACCTGAGAGAGAGGAGCCGCAAGCAGACAAAATGGGAGGTATAGAATCCTGAGATGGGAATGAGTGCTCAAGACGGGGAGAAGGGCTGAAGGGAGAAAAATGGAGGAGGGGTGCTTCAGCTGCCGGGGCTCCCCAGACCCCAGTCGGGTCCCCTCCGCCAGCAAGAAACTCCTCCCCACCCCCCCCCAGCCCTTAGCAACAGGCTGTTTTGTAAACATCTTGGAAACATTTTGTTTTCCAGTGAACCAACCCCTCTCCCCACCCAACGCCACCCAAGAAAGCTTGGCAAAGTTTCTAGATCAAAGTTCTTATTGGGCTCGTAATTTATTGACCCCTGCTACCCTGCTTCAAGATATTCTTTAATGATTTTCGCTATCCTATTTAATCCTTTCCTGCCGGATGCCCCCGCGAGTCCCAATGGGCAGAGAGATTAAAACATACCCCACCCCCATCCCCCGTGGCAGTTTCCAGCATGCAGGCTCTGCTCATCTTGTGACCCGGCGCGGGCTGAACTTGGCGAGATGGCCCTGCAGAGTTCACTCGGATGTCACGGTCCGGCCTGCAGGGGTCACAGGCGGGTCAGGCCCGAGGATTGGGACCGGGCCCCAGGTCACGCCCCCGCACGCCAGCTTTGCTCACCGGCCAGAGGCAGTGTCTAGAAAGGGGCGGGATCGGGATTTCTGAGAATTACCTCTCTCGCGCCTTGCCCTCGTTCCTGCCGCTGCCCCGAAGACGTCTGTCACAGTTTACAGACATCAATTCATTAGAAAAAAAATGACAGTAGGAGAGTCCCTTCCCTAGAGTCTCTGAAACGCCAAGTAGGACTGAGGGGAATAGCCAACTCTCCGAAACACGCCCTGGGGCGACCCGGGTTTGGAGCGTTGCGGGAACTGTGCGGTCCCTGCCACTCTGCAGACACTTTCTGAACCGCCAGGTTTGGGGACCACCGCGGGAGCTCTCAGGATCAAAGCGTTTTCCATCTACCAGAGACGCTTTCCAAGGCGTGCGGCGTGCTCCTGTGAGAGCTGGTCTTCCGTTTTAAACGTACATCATTGTTTCGTTTTCCGAGTGCGTTCAGCGCTCAAACCAAGGGAGTGTGAGGCCCTGGACTGGTCCGAGGCGGCTCGGACCCACTCCCACTGGCTCCGCCAGGTGGGAAGCAGGGAGAGCACGTGTGCTTCCTACAGCTTCTGAGCTTCAGGCATTGGCTGCGGGAGTAGCCGATTGTATATAGTTGGACAAAGGCCAGAAGACCCACTTCCCGGTACAGATTCCCTCAACTCCCCCATTAGTGGCCAGCAGAGGCCTGTGTTTACGACCTAGCATCTCTCTCACCTGGGTAGCTTTCTGCCGGGTGGGAGTGGGAGAGCGGAGAGTGGTTTCAGTGCCGGGAGTCCAAGTCACCCTGGTAACGCAGCCTAGCGTGCCGGGAGCTGGGAAGAGTATTTTCAACGTGAAGCCTCTTTTGGAAACTCACAACTACCCTGAGGTGCACAGAGATCAAGAATGATCATCTTCATATTAAAGAAGAGGAAACAGGCGCAGAGATGTGCGGCGGCTTGCCCAAGGTCATTCAAGTAGAGAAGTGGGGCTCAGAGCCCAGATTCCCAGATTCCCGGGCTTTCCTTCCTGTGTCTCGGACTCCTTACCCTGTCAGGGCTAAGTACCCTCTTCCCCTCTGCGTGTCTGGGGCTGCCAGTCCCAGGGTCCTTGGAATCCGGCCGACTGTGGCTGGATCACTGAGGGCTGGTTGCCTCCAAGCCGCAGACGAATGGACCCTGAGGTCCCCCGCTGGGGCGTCAGAGTTGGGGTTCAGACTTGCACGGGGTTGCACCTGGAGTCCTGAGGATCTGGAGGCTCTCTTGTATCCTTAAGTGGGACCTTCCAAGACTTCATGAGTGCGGGCCTCCTTGAGGGTACTGGGGAGCTGGGAATCTATAGTCAGCCGATCTTGACTCCTCCCTCCCCCGATTCTCGCTTGGGTCCTGGTCCAGGGCTCTTCTGTGGGATCTTTGGAAATTTGGCCCTGCGTTCTGGACCCTTAGTTTCCCCATCTATGGGACTAGGCAGCTTGGTGATCCCTGAACGCACTTCCCTTTGCTTCCCCAGCAGGTGGAAGGGCGCCCACCCGGAGCCTGCAAATAGAGAGCCAGTTCAGGCAGCTCTGGGCTGGGACTGCCCGTCGGACCTGGAGGGAGGGTTTCCAAAAAAGACCGCCAGGAAGCCCAGGGCTTGGAGTTCCCGCCCCTCGAAGCCCGGGTTGGACTCTGCCGCCGTCCCCACACACTTTGTATGGGGGAAGCAAGCTGCTTCTAGCCCCGCACCCCAGGAGGCGCGCTTGGAGGGAAGCCGCCACCGCGCCGCCTCTGCCTCGGCGCGGAACAAACGGTTAAAGATTTTGGGCAGCGCCGCGCGGGGGGAGGAGCCAGGGGCCCAATCCGCAATTAAAGATGAACTTTGGGTGAACTAATT